AGAGCATTCCTGAAAGAACAAGATAGTTCTAGAAACTAGAGGGCGCCACACCAGTCACGTGACCTCGATGACGCAACAACTACATATTCTCCATATTTCAAAAACTATCCAAATATTTTAAACAAAATATCTGTTTTTGCTAGTTATACATCGTAAAAATCTAATACTTGTTTTGGCATCGAAAGTAACTTTACGAAAATTTAATTTTGAAATTAAATGTCCCAGGGTAAAACACCATTACTAAATACCACATTTTAACGATTATAAACATAAACAGCGTTAAATGACCAATTATATGTGGCCCTTTCAGCCGTGGGGGCGTTATAATGTGACAGTCAATCCCACTATTCAGTTGGTAAAAGAGTAGCCCAAAAGTTGGCGGTGGATGGTGATGACTAGCTGTCTTCCCTCTAGTCTTACACTGCTAAATTAGGGACGGCTAGCAAAGATAGCCCTCGAGTAGCTTTGCGCGAAATTCAAAAACAAACAATTATATGTGTAAAATGACGTATTATTAAACGTCATTTGTTTTGTTTTGCGCATGTCTTATTCGGTGCGCCCAACGCATGTGTAAAGTTATATAGCTGAATTGGCGAGTGTGGCTGTATATTCGATTAATTAATTTAAACATAAATCTATTTGAAACATAATTTTTGGTAGAAAAACACGCCTGAGCTCGTTATGTAAGTATGTAGTGTTAAAACATGCATATTTAATTTTAAATCTTTGTGTGTGTTTTTTAATATAGAAGAATTGTGTCAGCTCCATAAGTAATTTAAAAAAAGTAACATTGATTGTTGCGTTGGGATGGTCCAAGGAAGTAAAAGTACATGAAGTCCAAGAGCTGGATGGAATGATAACAACAAGCAGTGGATGAGGCTGTTAACATACAGTGTTAGTGATCGACGCTAAGACAATGGCCACTGATAATGGTGTTCAGAAACGCTTTGTCCCCGAAACTGCCTATCGGCAGAAAAGACGTTCGCACTTGACTTATCAGTGTAGAGCGTAGTACTATAACTATTAGTATAGTATTACTAGTAATAGTGGTAGTTTAAAATATGTTTGATCAAAGTAAAGGTAAAGCGGAGACGTATATAATATATGACTTTTAAAGTTCCTGGCCATTCTCTTCTTATATTTAGGGGATATAAAATACTTGGTCCACATTTTAAAAACAGTTATCAATTTCCTAATCCTACCCCTTATCTTATGAGTTATAGGCACAGCCAGCTATGGAAGATGACTGTGCTTTTAGTTTTACTTTTAGGGTTTTATATACCCCATCTGTATGGATTTAATAATTTTAAACCTTCTCATCTACACACTAATACTTTGTGACTAGTAATGCATTTACTTCAGGACAGATTTCATTGGTTTAAACATTTATTTCTTGACATTCAAGCAGTATTAGGTGATACTACAATCCTAATAAATGACATTGTAATAATAATTTCATACTTTATTATTATTTATGGTATATCTAGTCAAAGAACAAAAAATAATTCTGGAAATACACTGGCTGCCCTTTATAACTCCAATACTGCAATGAACACCATAAAAACTTATCTTGGGACACTTCATTGTTTTAAATAGTATTGTGTAAGCATTATGAATTTATCAGATGTGTCTAGAGCTACTCCTGTGTTCAGGCAATGAAGAAACATTTTCAGTTCAAGATGATAACACTCTTTCCCCCTTTTTATAGATTTCTATGACATTTTACACGTGAATTTCACCCATAAAAAACTTCCTTTTTCCAATAAATTTATAACGTGCATGTGGCCATCTTTTTCACTTGAGTAAATTGCCCAGTGTATTTATACACATGGTCGATCAGACTAAAACTGGTAACTTAAGAGTCACTGAAATATGGCAGAAGTTGTGATTTCTGACAGATTTGAACTATTAAGTTTGTAAATGTTTTACATACATCTGTATTTACAGAAAGCACATACTGTTGTAGATAACAGTCTCGAACACCAATTGAAGTCGGAAACAACCATGAAAGCTTCAAAACTCAAAATTTTTAAAACTGCAAACCTTTACTTTGCATTTGTGACATTGGTGAGTTTGTGTTTCTTATATATGGAAGTTTTTCTTAATATATCTTATTTGTTTATAAATTAAACATAAGTGAGATATCTGTTGTCACTGTGTAATTTATAAAAAATCTAATAAACTTACAAATTTTTAATGTTACTATAAATAGAATTTTGTTTAATCATGCCACAAAATAAGAAATAAGGGTTCAACATTTAGATAGAAATATACAAATATGAATATATTTGATCAGTGAAATCAGGTATATTGTTATTAAAGAAAAAGTTTTTTTTAAATAAAGTTTGATTATTCTTGTGCCAGTGTTTTTTTTTTACAGTTATTTAAATTTTGTGCAGGGCTAGTTATTACAGGTAATTGCTAAGGGGTTGAAGCAAGTTTCTCTACTGTCATATACATATAATAAATTATATACAAAGAAAATAAAAATAGTAGAAAAACTAATTATCCCTTTTTTTTTTGGTTTCTCTCTCTCTCTCTCAGGGTATGGCTGTAGCCATAACAGGGCCAACCCTTCTAGACTTAGAACGGGCCGTGAACACAGATACAGAACACATTTCGTACATCATTGTAGGACGAGGTATTGGTTATTTGATTGGATCCATTGTAGGTAAGTTTTTAATGCACATACTGAGAACATTTGTAGTTCTTAAATATCTTGATTCTCGTGTTCATTGAGCTTTCTTTTTCATATGTTGCTGAAGTATGCTAGTTATGAACTAAATACAAGAATTTACTTTGTAATAGTATTAGTTTGACTTGAGAGTATTGAAGACAAGTAGAAAAACCCTTTCTAGAAGCTAAAAAAAAAACTCCTTAAAAATTATGGACATCTTTATTTTTCTCAAGTTTAAAATAAACGAAGAAATTTATTAAAGCAACCAATGTTTTAATGTTATTTTATTTAAACAATTATAGATATATATATTGTTCACAAAAGCTAACCCGATGAAAACTCTCACATTGAGTTCAGATGCCTGTCAATTAAAGTAAGATGTTAACCTTTCACGGTATATTTAATAAAAGGTATTCTTATTTTCTTGTACATTTTAAAATTTATTGCTTCTTAGATTGCTTTAAATACTTTGATATAATTTTTTCATAATAGAAATGAGGGTAAAAAAAATAGGGTAATATGCTGGATATATAATTAAATACACAATATTGCAAAATTATAGCTTAACTGAAGGAATTAGTGTGTAACGTGTGTGTGTATATATATATATACAATACCTATAGCAAAAATTGTATAATCCATCAGAAGAATTTGCTAAAACTCCACTTGTTATTTCGGCATGTTCCACGGAATTAAAGAGAAAGAATTGTGGATGTGATGCTTTACCCACACACCACAAAAAATTTAGCTTTGTGGCTCATTTATTTTTCCACCAAATTGTAATAACTAAAAATCTCTTTCATCCCAATTATCAAAGGGTGACTTACAAATAAATCAATTTTATAAACTCCACCTTCTAGTACTCGGTTATTTTTACTTTGGGGCCTCCACCAGATATCGTAATACATTATAATGCTCTTACAATACTTCTAATAATGAATCTTCTTGAACTACATTGGTATTTTTACCTGAAACTGTTATTTGTCTATTTCAACCAACAATATTGATCCCAGCATGTTCAACTTTTGTTTCTTGCAGAAGTAGTACTCTTTGATCGTTTCAACAGACAGGTGCTGTTTCTGGTGATACAATTGTAATATTGCAGTATGATCATCTTTCTCGTTTATTTACAGGAGGAATACTCTTTGATCGTTTCAACAGACAGGTGTTGTTCCTGGTTAACATTCTGATCTTGGCTATCTCCATGACAGCTGCCCCATGGTGTAGAGATTTGAGTCCACTTATTGCTACAATGACTGTGGGAGGTCTAACCTTAGGGGCTATAGACACTGGTATGTGTAATTGATGTTTCTACATGTAAAGTTTAGACACTGATGAGTTAAATTGTCCTATAAAGAAACCAATACATGGAGTGAGTTCTTCCATTAACAACTCCCACAGATGTATGTAGTGTTTATTCTTTCACCAAGGAAGTACAAACACCATTTCAATTCATTATTTAATTTCTGTACTGTAAATTCGATGACATGACCGGTCATGTGACTTCTTTGTTCAATACTGTATATATATATCCGTGTCAGTGTAAATTACTTGTACCTGCTGATGACAAAACCTTGTC